CCGTACGGCAAAAGCCGGAGCACCAGTTCACAGGCTCGGGGCGTTTTAAAGCGTCATTCCTGGAAGCCTAAAGCCTAAAGCTTAAACTTCTAAACGCCTGAAGCCCCTACAACCATCCACCCCTAAACCCTAAACCCCTAAACAACTAGCTAAACCCCCAAACTCTTAAACCCAAAAGCCGAATCCTAAACCCAAACCCAAAAGCCGAACCCTGCATCCAAATCTAAGAACACACCGATGCGAGCTGCGCCTGCTGGTGGTAGTAGGCATACTGCACATGCGTGCCTCAGAAGACTTAACATGCCCAGGGCACTCGCAACACTAAACGCTGCACCTAGGCTTTTAATCGTTTCCCACTGATATTGAACGGGAGGGCCCCTTAGCCCCCATAAGAACTCGGAAAGTTTTTCAATTTTGAGGGTGGGTTTTTATGTCTACTGCCACTTTTGACGGGTCGTGCTCTTGCTCCTGCTCCTGCTGCGTCTCTTGCGCCTGCTCCTGCTCTTGCTGTTGCTTACTCCCGCTCTTGCTTTTGCTTTGCTCTTGCTGCTGCTTTTGCTGTGCAGCCGCGTTTGCTCTTGCTCTTGCTGTGCTCTAACCCCAAGGGTCCAAGTACCTACTAATCATACACTCTCCAAAATCCTAACCTACATAACTACTATCCTAAAACCGAGTACCTAATCATTGGGTCCAAAGCATGGCTGATTTCGGGAGATTCGCCCCCAATGTGTTTTCATTATTAGGGGGGATCAATAAAGAGAGGAAATGATTAATCCCTACCTGGACCCCAAATAATCTACCTTTTAAAGACTTTTCTAAAAAAAAAACTCATATTCAAGAACTCTAAAAAGGAAGGTTTTGTAGGGTCCAGGGGTCCAGGCAAGCCCTGTAAGCCCGTAGGAAACCGCTTAACAAAAGTTTCCCTGGTTCCTACGGTTCAGTTTCGCAAGAGAACACCTGGACTGGGTGTAACATGGCCCACGCCCTGAATCACCAATAGGGTTTAGGGTTTAGGGGTTAGGAATGTTATTCCAACCATATGGCACAGTCCCTGGTCTGATCGCTACAATCCAGCTCCTCACACAAATCCCGACGGGCTGCTTACGGGGCCCGAGAAGCCTTGTGGGAACTCTTAGGCGTTAGGGCTGCGTGCCGGAGAAAACCCTGCACATACCCCTAAACCCTAAACCCCTAAACCCTAAACCCTAAACCCCCTTAACCCTAAACCCTAAAACCTAAACCCTTTCACCACCATGCAGCGATCCCTCACCGAAGCCGAGCACAAACCTAGCACCTACGGCGTCTACTTTAACCGGGTTGAGGGTTTAGGGTTTAGGGCTTAGGGCTCTGGGTTTAGGGTTTAGGGTTTAGGGTCTAGGTTCCCCAGTAAACCCTTTACAATAAGGGTATCCTTTTTTCTGAACATTCGGTTTTAATAGGGAGACCCTAGAACAAGAAGGGCAAAGGGGTACCACTGGGGAACCTAGTTAAGGGCAGTGTGAGGCTTGACTAGGGGTTTAATGGGGGCTACAAGTACAGCCAGGGCTACTTTATAGGGTTTTGGGGCCCCTCATACTATAACTATACCAAGGAACCCCCCAAAATAGTATAGGAAATTATTTAGGCCCCTATGGTACCCATCGTGATTTTTGCAGCCCGGCGGCGCATGTCGAAATGGCCCTGGTGGTTGTTGTCCTGGCACATGCGAGTGACACTTGCGCTAGACCCGATCGAATTTTGATACTCGAACCGGATGTAGCGGCCCGAATAATTTGAATACGGTTTTTGGGGGTCCTTTATAGTATGATTGGAATAAGGAACCCCTAAAATAGTATTGGTGATTATTTAGGCCCCTATATTATCCCCGCAGCACCAACATCACCTGATCCCGATTCCTCTGCGCCGCGAGTCCAATAGCCATTCGGGCATAAGCTTATTCTAGATAGTAGGGCAGAGTACCGACAAACCGCTCAAAAGGGCAGTGGTCCTAGAATACTAGGCATACCTGCCGTCTTTAGATGCAGGGCACCGTCACTGTTCTTTTAACTAACAGGTGCCAAGCAAATGCTCCGAAACCTGCCTGCCGCCCGAAAGTCTGCAAAATTGTAGGTTCTGACCCCTTCACCCTTAATCATAGGGCTCCCTGAACACATCTGAAAACAATAGGTTGCAGGTAACATCGTATGCCTCCAAGCTCCTCCAAAAAAACCCTGATAGTACCCTTAAAGAACCCTTAAAGGAACCTCTGACAGTGCCCTTTAACTACGGTTGATGATATAAACCCTGCACTACCCACACTAAGGAATATACCATAATTCCCATAGTTTGCACTACCCACAATAAGGAATCTACCATAACTCCCATAGTTTAGGGTCCTTAATGTAATGCAGGATACATATCATCAACCGTAGGAGGTTGGATCCCAGGCTGCCTCGAATCCACATCAACATATGGCCAGATAATCCTCGAGCCAAACTCGTCTCGGGCGCATCCCATGCGCATCCCTATTTAAAGAAAACAACAGGTGGGGAGTTTAGGGTATATAGGGCTTCTATACGGCCTCTATACGGTATTCTATAAGGCTCCTATAAAGATAGCTACCCGCCTGAAAATGTTCTAGACCTATACGCTAGACCCTAAACCCAAAGGGGTTTTGGGCATAGGGATCTCTGCCGGTCCTGAGCCATTTGCGCCAAGGCTGACGCCTCAGATCGGTCATCTGAAGAATTTGAGGTACGGTATCTTCCTGAACTTAAACTAGGTTCCCCAGTAAACCCTTTATAATAAGGGTACCCTTTTTCCGAACATTCGGTTTTAACACGGAGATTAAATACCACGCTTGGACAGCCAAGAAGTCTCTGCCAAAAATCACATATACAAACAGAGAACTACAGAGGATAGTTTAGTGTTTGGCGTCTGAAATCTACAAATACCGACCTTGGGCGTTTTGTAGTGAAGGGTAAGGCACCCGACCCTCCTAACCACTGCACCACTATGCCAAACCACCGCCTGCAGGCTTGGTTTAGGGTTTGAGGCTTACGGTTTAGGAGTTCAGGATTTATAAGAGCTTTTGGGGTTTGGGGGGTTGAGTTTTGACTTTGAATTTCTTGGAGCCCTCGGCTATACATCCACTTTTCAACCCCCCCCTCCTTACTAAGCCTAAGTTCGTATACACCTCGCCTGATTACTAGGTCCTTATTCAACATGCTGCGAGAACACCCTTCGACCAAACGTACAGAGAACATGTTTAACAGCCTTCCTGGCTTCTCCTAACAGAAAGCAACAGCTTTTCAAAAGACACAGGATGAAATAGGGTCTTGGGTTGGTTTAGAGTTTAGGATTTAGGGCTTAGGGTTTAGGGTTTAGGGTTTAGGGTCTAGGGTTTAGGATTTAGGGTTTAGGGTCTAGGGTTTAGAGTTTAGGGTTTAGGTCAATCAAGAACAATTCTCCTAGGGCGCCAGCAGTTTTGAAGGTGTCGCCCCGGGAGTGGACGAAGACCATGACTTGGTGTCCTCTAGCTTTAAGGTTGGGCTTTACAGGTTTAGGGTTTAGGGTTTAGGGGTTTTTGGTTCAGGGTTGAGGGTTTCCTTTAAAGGGATTTATACGGGTTTAGGGTTCAGGGTTGAGGGTTTCCATTGAAGGGATTTCTACGGGTTTAGGGTTCAGGGTTGAAGGCTTCCCATAAGGGATTTCTACGGGTTTAGGGTTCAGGGTTGAGGGATTCCATTAAAGGGAGCTCTACCAGTTTAGGGTTCAGGGTTGAGGGTTTCCCATAAGGAATTTGTAAGGGTTTAGGGTTGAGGGTTTCCGATAAGGGATTAATAAAGCCCTGTCCAGGTACAGCAGGGTTTGCATCGGGTGCTCACGGGGTGTTGCGGATTTTTGCTTCTCTGAGGAGCCCAGAAAGGTCTTCCTGTAGCTCCAAACCCTGCAAAATAGTAGGCTACAACCCATTTAGGGCATACCTGGACCCCAAAAACACGTAGACTACTAGTCTGTTAAAAGTGTTGAGCCATCATCTTACCTACTTTTGGGCGGGGTGAGGCAACCCCTAAGAAGTCGTAGGCTATTGGATTCTATTGGATAACCCAGGTTTGCAACAGTTGGTTGACCCTACCTAAACCCCTAAACCCTACACCCTAAACCCTACACCCTACACCCTACACCCTAAACCCCTAAACCCCTAAACCCCTAAACCCCTAAACCCTAAAACGAGTGGGTCTTCAGTTCTGGCTCGTAAGACTTCTCCAAGCGTAGAGGTAGCAGCGAGACTTCTCCCTTTGCTGGCCCAACGAGTCCAAACTCACGTTGGAGCTCTCTCCTGGAGGGTGTGTTTCCCCAAACGAGCCTGGCGACGGTGTTGAACTCATGCAACTGCCGAGTTGCTATGACGGGACGTCTTCGGCCCAGAGACTTCCTCCGAGACTTCAATCGCAACCAATACACGGCCCAGTCTATATCCACAAGGATGCGAAACCATGTTCCGGCTGGTTGCTCCGATCCCTATAGTAGAGCAAAAGAGCTGTGCTTTCTACTTGCTGAACGGCTTATGTGACTTTTTTCTAGGCCTTGTATTGACATGATGCCGAGCTGGGCGTATACCCAAAACCGTACATACCCTATGTAAACCCCAGCCCTAAAGCCTAAACTTGCCTAAACCGTTGTCTGGGCAAAAAGATTCGCAAGTCCTTCGGCATGCTCAAGGCTATCGTCATCACATGATACAAACCCTCTTCCAGTTTACCACTTCTGCAAAACATCTAGCGGACTTCGCAATGTCAGGTGTTAAATGGATTAGCAGCGAAGTTATCTCGTGAAGCGGGACTCGTGTGGAGGATGTGCAATCATTACATGACGATAAATAAAGGCCGCGGGTTTCGCATTGATGTTTCGGGCTTGCCAATGGAGGTGCCCAAACTTACAGATTTGCTTTAGAGTGTCCATGACCGATTCATACCCAGCCCGAACCACTTACAAAACATTAAATCCCACGATCCGAATCACGGAGTAAGAAATACTGAACCCGAAACCGTAAGCCCTACATCGCCCGAAACCGACACGAAAGGGGGGACTCCTTTTCTCACTTGTTCCACCACTGCTTCATAGCAGATCTCGTTGAGCTTTGCAATGTGCTTCACGCGGTTGGTCCTTCGAGTTTTCTTATAAGGAGCAAGGACTTAGCAAGAGACGAATTTTCACCGCTTTTTGACTGGATTAGGGTGTAGGGGTGCTTTGTGTTATAGCTGTGTTAGCGAGCCCGAAGGAAACGATTTCTTCTGTGCAAATGCGGTCGCCAACAGGCTAATATTCGTAACCCAGAAACACGGCCAACTTAAAATCTGAACAGAGAAGGCAGAATCGCTCAGGTAACAATCGGTTTTCATTCTTGGGCCTAGACTATTGAAACCGCTCGTCGTAAAGATCCTACAGCACCAAAAAAATCAGGACCTCAAAACACCGCTGTGCTGAGGGCTGAGCTCTGTGATGCCCAGGAAGGACGTCTCCAGCGGAATCGGGCGATAGGAGGAATCGAAGTAGAAAAGATTCCTAGGAGATGCTGCTGTTGAGTGGGTTTAGGGTTTAGGGTTTGGGGTTTAAGTTTTAGGGTTTAGGGTTCAGAGTCTAGGGTTTAGGGGTGTTGAGTGAGAAGGGAATCCACCAAAGATTCCAGTAAACCTGCGTGGGGGTGGCATGTAAAGCTCCGGGGTTAAGCTTCTCTAAAGATTTCAGAGTATAGTTTCGGGAACCGAGAGCTCTACCTGGTTTAGGGCTTAGGGGAAAGGGTCTAGGGTTAACTGATTGGGCATTTAGTTTAGAGACCCTCCGGGCAAGGGTATCGCAACCGACTGAACAACTGGTGCTAACCCCTAGATTGCGGTACCTTTCTTTGGATAGCCTATTAATTCCTCGCTTAGGAGTCTATAAAACAAAGTCTCTAAAAACAAGTACTGCGTTCTAGGATCTCGGAATACACCCTAAACCCTAAACCCTATTACCCTAAATCCTAACCCTAAACCCTGTGAAATCTCGCATGCTTCCCAACCGCGTCACGGAGTCTCTGCTCTAAATCCGAGGGTTTCCCAGTATCCGCTTCCAAAGTATGGGTCGGTTTGGTCCTCTGAAGCCTAAAGCCCTAAACCCCTAAACCCCGAAACCCTAAACCCTAAGCCCTAAGCCCTAAGCCCTAAACCCTAAACGGCCCTAAACCCCCAAACCCTAAACCCTAAACCCCTAAATCCCTAAACCCCTAAACCCTAAACATTAAACCCAAACGGCCCTAAACCCCAAAACCCCTACTTCCTAAACCCCTAAACCCTAAACAT